TTGTCCAAATACGTCGTCTCCTTTTCTTTTTAGGGCTTTCAGCACTAAATCGCCCAAATATCCAAGGCAGCGCGTTTCACTCTAGTGAGCTTCATGTTCCTCTGCTACTGGTTTGGCTTCCAGATAGACGAGTCCCAGTAGCGCCATCTCACTGCGGAGCTGAGTCCCACCTGGTTTTCAGACGTACAGAGTGAGCAGGTAGATCGCATCAGAGCGTCGGGCCAAAAATAAATCGTGAGCTGTGAGCTCACACTGTACGACTAAACCCTGCAGTTAGTCGTACAGTGTGAGCTGTAGCTGTGTGCAACGATTGAAGGGCCGCTGGCTCTGATGGCGATTTTTGACTCAGCTTTGGAATCAGTTCTGGAAGGATCAGACTTTGGGTTTTAGTTTAAACGTGAGCAGGAAGAGGCTCTACGCTCATTCATTTTTAAGAAGGTCGTATTCGCCGTTTTACCAACAGGCTGTTTGTTTCCACTCCCCCACCAGCTTCCTGTGGCGCTTCCTACGTAAATATATATGTACAAACTGCCCCCACACTTTTTTTTCAGTTTTGATCAATCACAAAGTGTTAAGTAGACATTTGCAAATCCGCCTCCCAGTATTTAGCATTTTCTGATGATCAGCATATGTTTATTTATGAATGAAGGCAAACAGGCTAAATGTTTACGCCTCCCATTCCACTTATTTTATTAAGCTTTCAGCTCGCTATCAAGTTTCGCCTGCTTTTATGAATGCAAACATTAGTCGGCCAAAGTTTGCTAATTAGCTACATGAAACAAAGTCCAACACATGAGGACACATGAGGACACATGAGGACACATGATGACACATGAGGACAACACATGAGGACACATGAGGACACATGAGGACACATGAGCAGATTGTGTTTCTATGGATCAGAGTCTGTTGTGTTCAGAAGCTTGAAGTCTCTGCAGGTTGTGGGCTAACATCGTCTCAGGTTGTAACCATCGGTTCTGTGCTGTGCAGGTGAATCCATCATGGCGCTGGTGTCAGAGTTCCTGGGTCAGCTGACTCTGTCGTATGGAGGGGTGAGAATCATGTTTGGTTTGGTAAAATCAGCCTGTGAGATGCAGCCAGACAGGATCCAAACATTTTATATGTTAATTTCTCTGTTTATGACACACCTGAAGTTCTTTGAATTTACCAAAAAACCTCAAAATTGATCTAAAATATTTTTTAATGACAGAAAAACGAAACAATCGAGTAACGTGTGAGAACTTCTATGAAGAGACAAACCCCTGACTAAAGGCTTCCCTCTGAAGGTTTAATAATTCAGCCCTGCATGTTTCTTTCTATCTTTATGATGAAACTTTAAAAGGATTCGTACTGCAGTCTGAAAATGGACAGTAACAGAAAAAGTTGCTAGATTTGGCGCTTTTTTGTAATAAAAGTTGAGACACATCTAATATTATAAGCATTCTGAAGGCATTTTAATGAAAGTCTTTTTTTTTAATCCAAAACATTATTGTGCACAAATAAGTAATAGCTGTATTAGTTAATTTAAAAAAAATCCACTGGACTTTGTTTCCAGGTTTGCAGACGTTTCGCTTCCCATCCAGGAAGCTTTTTCATTTCAAAATAAATCATTTTAATTCATTTTGAACTGAAAAATCTTCCTGTATGGAAAGAAAAACGTCTTCAAACCTGGAATCAAAGTCCAGAGGATTTTTTCTTTTTACTTTTCTGAAACATCTCTGAGCTGAATGACCGAGACTCTTCAGCAGAATAGCTGTATCAACCATGTTAAAGGAGTTTTATGGGGCCCCCAGGAACTAGGGGCCCCAGGCAGCTGCCTAGTTTTGTCTAAAGGTAAATCCGGCCCTGGCGTGGCCTGACCCCGCCCCTTTCTGTTTCCTGTAGGTTTATGTGCTTGAATCAGGCAGCATTTATTTCTCCTTGCAAAGGAGAACAAAATCTTTTTTCTGCCAGATTAAAGTTTCACTAAGTGCTTAAAAACAAAGTGAAGAGCTTTGAGGTCTGAATCAGCAAACTACAGGAAGAGATCCAGACTTGATCGGTTTCCTGTAGCGTTCAGGGAGGTCGGGTCAGCAGAGGGTCTGACGTCCAGAATCTAAGCCCAGAAAGCTACCTGGGAGACGGGTAGACCTGCTCCAGAACCAACCTGGTTTCTAATCTCACTCAGTTCCCCTGAACGGCTGCTTCCAGATAAAACGTTCTTTTTCTTACGGATGTCTTTGTTTTTATAGATAAGATCCACAGAAGCTTCTTTTCTTAAACTGTTTCTCTGTCTGCTGCAGGAAGAGCAGACAAAGTTCCCCACCGTGGTGCCGGCTAAAGACTTTGACCCGGGTCAGGACGCCGCCAGGATTGAAACGGCCATTAAGACCAAAGGTGAGGATTTCAGGAGAGCAGAAACTGAGGAGCCCATGAGCCAGGCATATCCTCCTTCCTGCAGGCCATCAAAGGAAAAATGTTTCTCATTCCATCTAATCTGACCTTTTCCTTTCAGGAGTGGATGAACAGACCATCATCGACATCCTGACCAGACGGAGCTACGAGCAGCGCAGAGAGATTGCCTTTGAGTACGAACGCATCGCTAAGAAGGTAGAAAACTGATTCCAGATTCTCCCTCAGGTTTGGAGTCCACTGCTGAGATGAAGCTTGTATTAG